AAGGAAATCAATAGAACACGAGACCCGCGCCCACCCCCACCCCACCCCGGGCGGCCCAGGCCACGGCTGCACCACAGGAGCCCAGGGAGGATTGCTGCAGAGGCCCCACAGCCCATCACGCAGCCACCTCACAGCGGCACTGGCTTTGAGGCGCCTCGGGGGCTGCAGCGCCGGCGTCTGGGTGGGTCGGGCCTAGCGAGGGGGTGGACCCCCCGTGCACCGTGCGCCAGAGCCAGCGCCTCCCTGAGTGCAAACACCCCTGGAACCTCCCGGGCTTTCCCTGCAGAACCCAGGACGGGGCTGCCTCCGACCCCTTCCCTGTAACGTGAGCCTGACTGGAGGCCAGAGGCGGCTCTTCGCTTTAGGGTTCTCATTTCCATAATGCTCAGCTCTTCTTTCTCCTTCAGGGTTGGATTAGTGACCAGTTTCCTGTTCCCATGTATTGCTTAGGGCCTGTGACCCCGAGCCCAGGCCAGCTGCCTGTAATCCCTTCACCTGTGCGGGGCACCGGCTTCCACCCAGATGAGTGTGCCAGAGGGCGGGCGGCAACCACTTAATCCTGAGCTGATTAACAGGACAAGCAGCGCAGAAGCTCCCGTCTACGCTGGCACAGGAGGGCAGTGGAAGGAGCCGACTGGCGGGGCCGGGAGCAGTACCGCGCACGGGCGGGACGGCGCCTCCCTGGATGAGCCGGCCGGGGGGGTCTCCACGCCAGGAGCCCCAGGACAGCAGCCGAGACGTCTTGTCGAAGGGCTTTGGGGCCTGCCATGCTCCCACGCACTTCGAGGCACAAGCGGGCAGCTGAAGGCGTGGCGCGTGTATCCAGTGACTTTGTCACAGTGAATCTGGACATCACGCTTCAGTAGACACTACGTTCGCTGGGGTGTTATGGGGGTTTTTGTGTCGATGGGGTCAGGCTGAAAGCCCGCCGGCCACTCAGGGAGGGATGCCCCGAGTTAGCACCAGCAGCGCTACCCAGAGCGGACACCGTCTCATGCCCGTCAGCTCACAGACAGAGCCGCGTCAGTCTCAGCGCGAGGACAGTGCAACAAGGAGGCAGAATCGAGAATGTTCTCCCCACGGTCCAGTGTCCTGGAAGCCGTGGGGGGAGGGCCTGGGAAGCTCAGTGGCCTCACAGTGGCCCTGCAGTGGCCTCACCGTGGCCTACAGTGGCCCTGCAGTGGTCTCACAGTGGCCCTGCAGTGGCCTCACAGTGGCCCTGCAGTGGCCTCACCATGGCCTACAGTGGCCCTGCAGTGGCCTCACAGTGGCCCTGCAGTGACCTTAGAGTAACCTACAGTAGCCCTTCAATGGCCTTACAGTGGCCCTGCAATGGCCTCACAGTGGCCTACAGTGCCCTGCAGTGACCTCACAGTGGCCCTGTAGTGGCCTCACAGTGGCCTACAGTGGCCCTGCAGTAACCTTACAGTGGCCTTGCAGTGACCTTACAGTGGCCCTGTGGCCTCGCAGTGGCTGATAGTGACCCTGCAGCAAAACCAGGTACATCGGCTGGGCTGTCAGTCCCCTGGAGACGAGTGAGCGTGGCCGGACATTTGGTGGCCGTGAAGCTTTAGCTGTCATCCTGGTGTGGGCTGCCGTGGAGCTGCGGGGAGCCTCACTGCCTGGAGAGTGTGGGCGCCTGGAGGGGCGGGAGAGAGAAGGTAAAGAGTAGAGGTTCACGGAGCTCCGGGCCTCCAGGTTCTCCTGGCCCAGCGGCCTCTTTGACTGGCTACATCTTTTTGAAATGTTTTCAAAAGACCTTCCTCAGCCCGGCTACGTCTTCTTTACACTTTACCGCCTCTGCCACCCACTCTGCCTGTCACTCGGGATTCTCCTCCTTCCAGCCTGAACGAGCCCTCTTACGGAGTCCCTGTTGAAGACTTAAGCCTGGTCACTGCAGAGGGTGTGATGGCCTGTCCTTTCAGAATGGACGTGGGAGTCCCAAGCCCTACTGCCCGGAAGGCGGCCCCCGTGGGCAGAGGGTGGTGGCTGGCATCGCCTAACGGAAGCCCCCTCTGGACCAGCGTCCTTACGAGAGGCCACGTGAGGAGCCCATGAGGACCGGGCTCAGGCCACCCCGGAGGCCCCGCTCACACCAGGACCCCGGACACGCCCCCAGAACACACCCTCCAGCACCCACTCCACTTGGTGGTCCCCCGCCACAGCCTTGCGCAGTGCTCGCTCGAGGGGAGCCCGCCGTGGCCACAGGCACCTTTGCCCCAGATTCTCACACTCATCTTCAGACCCCAGGCCGCTCTCCTGCTGGCGAGAGCCCAGCCAAGCTGCGCCGCGGCGCCTCCACTCAGCCTCGTGGGCTCCTGGAGGTGAGGAAAGGAGGCGGGGGGCCCGGGCCGCCATGGAGG